AAGGAGGAGCTGGGGGCCCTGAGTGCCAGGGGGCACCATGGGAAGGGGTGAGAGGGCAGCACCAGTCTCCCAGATACTGGAGTCCACACTGGGCAGGTTGAGCAGTGACAGAGGCCCCTAAAGCGGGCCTGCCTTCTCCACACCTGCGCCCAGTGGGCACTGCCTCCTTTCTTCCTGAGCCCCTTTCTGACGGTATTAACCCCTTCCTGACCCTTGTGCCAAAGCTGAGGGGGGTGTGGTACCCAAGGGAGGGGACAGTGTCTGGGGGTGCCAGCAGGCAGCCTCGTGCCCACAGCAACCATGTAACAGAGGCACGCTGGGGGAGCCAGGGTCCCGGGGGCCAGGGACAGCAGGCACTGACAGAGATTTCTCCTTGTTTCATCAGCTGCTCCAGGGGGAGCCCCCTGCCCTTCTCCCCAGTTATCACTAAGGAAGAACACTAACTACCACCCAAAGCTGGTCACAAATATGCCCTTCTCCGGCCGGCACAACACTCCTTACGCTCAGTATTTCCTCCCAACCTGACGTCCACTCCATGCCAGCTCTGCCAGTAGTGCCAGGAGGGTACAGGGGTGACCAAACCAGTTGGTGTGTGGGGCAGTAGGAGGCAGCTCTTAACCTTCCGATCTTCAGCACCTCTATGCACAGCACACCCTCCCTCAGGGAACACAGTCCCCATCCTGTTTTAACCCCTCACTGCCCACTCTGGCTCCCTAGCCCCTGATAAACGGTTTTCCTCCTCTAGAATAAATTGGGGGAAGGGGGGTGGCTGAGCTGACTCATTCCGGTCCTCAGCTGCAGCTAGGGGTCTTCAAGACCTTCGGGCTGGGGGTCAATTCAAGAACACCCTCCACCTGGCCCGGAAGCCAGGACAGCCCGCCGGTCTCCCCCTCTCCCCAGCACCCACTTCCGGTGTCCCAAACTAGGTCAGCAGCGCTCGCTTCCTGTGGGTCAGCTAGCACCGGCGCCTCTGCCCCTCCCCTGCTCCGGACCCAGGCTCCCCGCCCCCCGCCCCCCAGGGCGCCCCGAGGTCTCACCACTTCTCGGACGCCCTTTGATACATGGGGGTTGTGCGGGGCGGGGACAGCACCCCCCCCCCGGCCCCGGAGCCCACGCCAGCCCGCCGGTCTCCCCCTCTCCCCAGCACCCACTTCCGGTGTCCCAAACTAGGTCAGCAGCGCTCGCTTCCTGTGGGTCAGCTAGCACCGGCGCCTCTGCCCCTCCCCTGCTCCGGACCCAGGCTCCCCGCCCCCCGCCCCCCAGGGCGCCCCGAGGTCTCACCACTTCTCGGACGCCCTTTGATACATGGGGGTTGTGCGGGGCGGGGGGCAGGTGACCCGCCCTCTCTCCAAACACTAGCAGGGCCGGGGCGCCTGGGCAGGCACGTGTCCGGGCACAACCCGCTGCCCACGCTGCCCCCCCCTCTGGCCGGGACACGTCGCTCTCTTTCTTGGGGTGGGGTGGGAGGAGGGGAGCGAAGGATGGGACTAGAATGCAGAGCCCCTCTCCCCTTTGAATGGAAACCCTCTGCCCACAACAAACGCTAGGTTCTACGGCACAGCGGCTACCCTCTCTCGGGAGGGCAGGTGCGCCGGCGCCGCGCCGGACGGTAGGCAGAAGTCTTTCCAGGCACCCACCCGCGCTCTCGGTCTGAGGGCAGAGCGTTCAGGAAGGCTGCGGCGCCGCGGGGCGCTGAGGTCCCG